CTAAACGATAATTGTATTTAAGGTGTACGTTTATAAATTCAAATAATTTCAACAATCATTCTGTTGTGCGTGTATAGGGCATGATTCCAAATATTCCTATCACCTTTTTTCAACAAGTATATCGTAAGTAGATCGGATAAAGACCAATTTACTTTTATTAGGCTAAGGTAACACGATTTAGAATAGAATTATCAATTACATTAAACCTTCTTCATATTTGTGTGAAAATCATGTCTATGTTTACTAAGAATTCCCACGTATTTGCCCAGTTTTGAGCAGAAGCAGGGCCGTACCCAGAAAAAAATTTCGGGGGGGGGGGGGGGGGGGGGGGTTTCGGGGACAACAGCGGACATTTTGTCTTATTTTCGCCTATGAATCATGTGCATCGGTGGCATATAATGGAGAGTTATAGGAAACCGAAGAACCGGTCCCGGTTTGGTACCCGGTAGCCGACCGGTGCCACTGCGCGTGCGCAGAGGTGGAGATTAAAATCGGCTGGCTGCAAGTGCACCGACCAGGACCGTACCCAGAAAAAGATTTCGGGGGGGGGGGTCAGAACCCCCTACCCCCCCCCCCCCCCCTGGTTACGGCCCTGAGCAGAAGTATATTACAGGATTCTTCTAGTGCGTGTTGTAATCGAAAACAGCAACCCACGTTTCAACAATTCTTACAAGTTCAGTGTTCAAAGATCCAAAGCTAATGGGATTGCAAAGTCTATCACTCGAAGGACATGAGCGGAATATTATTAATTTAAGTTTTTACGCATTCATGTTTAAAAATTCCTCTTAGCCCACATTCTTAATTTCAAAAGTAACTTATTAGCTTTAATCCTGAGACCCTCCTGCTTTTGAACAAAATATGCTCGTGTCGTCTGCATAATTTACATATCCATTTCCAACTTGAAGGCGTGTCCACTTTGCCACTTCTGCACAGTAATAAAAAAATAATTCGTCCCAGGATACTTCCGTGTCGAACTGCTGAGGTATGTTTAAAAATAAGAAGTATTGTTTTTTTATTATTCATTTGCCCAAACTAAATGTGAGAGAGTAAATGCGTTTCGATCAGCAGAAGTGAAATATCACACACTATAAGAAAATAATTTGTACAGCAAAATGATATGCTTGAAGTCATCAAAGACTTCGCTAAAATTTAAGAATATTTCAAGCGTCAAGCTTTTTTTCCCCAAAGTTTTATATATGGGTAAATTATTAACGAATATAGCTTTTTTGTTTATCAATTTTTGGCAGGAGTCTAAATTGACAATCTGCAATAAGGGAGTGTTAATCTTAAAAACATAATTATACGGACAAAAATACTATCTTTATATTTTTTTCAGAACACTAGAAGAATGGATAATTGACTGTAAATCCCTAATTGATTTAAATCACAGGCTTTGAACAGTATGAACATTTTGACGATTTGAATTTTTCCGAAAATGTGTCAGATAACACTGCTATGTTATTAATGTACGGTGTACTGTGACGAACGACCTTCGCGGCCGCACCTGGACGCGGAACGCCACCCCTTCTCCAACATTCCTGAGGCCTTTCGCTGTCAACCCCGAGTCTTTAGAGTACATCAAGCAATACCATCGACTATATATTTGACAAGTTAAATTTGTAAATATTTCGCATAACGACTAGTACGCTTGTTAAAAGCTTTAATGAAAGATAATTGTTTTTTTAATCTATATGAGAATAAGAAAAATTCCGAGATCGGGGAAATATCATCTGGCGCTTAAGAGTCGTAAATGCTGCTTCGCATATTTACATAAAGTTGTTAAAAGCGTTTTCCAGCTATGACCCACAAAATATCTCGCTGTTATTCTTCAATCTCTTTTTTTTTGCCCTATCATAAACGTATAAACACTGAAAACACAGTTCATACGTTTCAATAATAATTTCTAAACTACTAAAAAGTTTCTCCCGTGAGGCTTGGCTTCATTCATATTCAAGGACTGCTCGAAATCAATTTGTTTTTTTCGTTTTTTTCCTGTTCTGAAAAAATCGGCTAGGAATGAATCGGTATATTCAAAGACAGGACCAGGACTGTCATCCTGAGGAAAATTTCTCAGATTAAAACAAAATTCACGTTTATGTGGGAATAAGAAAAATCTTGCTGGTTTGAGGGAAACTTTTGGACACCTTATTTATTTAAAAATTTATAGGTCAATCATTATTTCTTTTTGAGATAACATCGAATTTAAGTGCCTTTTGCCGCATATGGGTTATTCCCTCCATCCTTTTGGCGATTTGTTGTGCGATCATCTGGCAACACTGAGAAGCAATCGAACAGCGTTTTTGGGTAAAATCAATTTTCATTGCTCTCATGAAAACTGTGGAGGCGGCGACCAGCCAACCCTAAGCTTCTGGGAGCGCTGCTGCGCCTTCTCGAAAAATAAAGCTTGAGTACACGAAGAAATACTGCGATGTCTGGAGGTAAACACTTTCCATGTCAAAGACACAGTCTTACCATGAATAATACTATTTCGTTAAGTTCCGTGCACCAAATGGGGCTTACTGCGTGTCGTGCTCCGTGTGTTTGAGTTTGAGAACCCTAGCTTGTGTTACACCTTTTGTCTCGAACTGACTATTATAAAAAAGCGCTAAAAGTTATTACAGCAGTACCATGTTTTGATGACGTGCCTAAGATCTAAGGCGAAAAGAGGGTTTCATTTGTCAGTTTGAATCCCCCGGTAACATTTTACCTGGCGAGAGTTGCTTTCAGCACTGTTTTTGCCCAATAAACCTCATTTTTATGAAAAGTGTACCGCCAGGCGTAAATACTATATAGCACACCTCTCATTGTAAAACTGGAAGTGATGCAGAAAACAACGAATATTTAGTGTTGTATAATTATTTGGGCAAGCGAGGAAAATTTCGGCAGAAATAGGGAAATTTGAAGTGTCCGCTAGGGAAATTCAGATTTTCCGTGTTGGCCACCCTGGTTAGGATACCCAATAGACATAGCTAACTGGTATACAAATCCATGCCACTATTGTCACTTTCAAAATAAGAATGGCAGAAAGCTTTTCATTTGTCCCGCCTCCAACGTGAAGGAAGGGAACGAGATGGTTCTTAAAGTGCAACTGCGCTCAATTCCGAAGATTTCGGGATAATGATTGATTTCGAATTAAAAAGCCCTAGTAAAACACACTACGTCGTTTGCTTCGCGAAAAATGGGATATATATTTTTAAATCCGATTTTAAACACGAGCGGAAATCGAAACCGAAACTTAGGCTCCGCCCGGCAACATTGGCCTCGGGTCGCCAAGTACATGGCCATCACGTGGTACGAGATGTCACGTGATCCTCGGCCCAACGACGGGCGGGATTGGGGCGGGCGTGTGGCAGGCGCGAGTGTCGTCTGCACCGCACTCTTCGCCACGTTTTGGTGTCTGCGGCGTTCGACGACGTCTGCACAACTGCGGCATAAGTGTGCGCGCACGTGGTGTCCGTAGTGTGGACGAAACTCCGAGAGACGTCGTCGTCTCACCGATTGTGATAATCGGTGAGACGACGACGGCGGTTGTGACGCGGAAGACGGCGGTAACGGCGGGACCACGGCGGGCGGCCGGCCGGCTCCCAAGAAACGCGCTGCGCAGGCGCGTTACGCCAATCACGTGGACACTGCTGAGCGCCGAGAGGCAACGTTGCTGACGTCATGCTCTACGCTCACCCGGAGAAGTGAAAACAAGCAAAAGGGGACCATGTAGATGGCGTTTAGCTCAATGTTGGCTCCGCCCATGCCGTAGCCTTGACTGCGCTGTTGGTTGCGCCTGAATTCGCCCGCTCAAGTCAGCCGATTTCGGCAACTTGGCGAGTTGCAAAGTTTGTCGGACCGTTTAAGAAACATTTAGACAGAACTGCGTCGTAAGATTTCACGTGTGGTCTTCCTAGGCGATACTGAAGAGGACTGCATTGTTTTTTCAGAACCAAAAATGAAACGGAGTTGCCCTTTAATGCAGGGCATACAAGAGAGACAGTTTTCATTTTGTCTTATCAGTGACTATAAGCAGTCGAAGGCGCCAGCAGCGAGGTGTTTCTGTTGCAAGCGATTTCTAAACAAATTTTTTTAGGCTGACTTTGGCAAGGTAATAAAACGTTTTATGCTTTTATTCATACCCCCACACAACGTTTCGAATACAAACGAATTGCGAACTGGTCGACCCATTCAGATCATATGTTATTATGGGACACTGGTGCCCGTTTGTAACGGCTCCCGTTTGACACGGGAACCCATTTGATGGAGACAACCTTTGATACAGGCACCCGCTTCATACAGACACTCGTTGGATACGGGTACCCGTCTAACATGGCGCCCTTCTGAACAGCCATCCCTGTACTGAGGTGAATCCATGGGTACTTGCTGAATTGGGTCACCTAACACAGGCAAATAAAGAGCCTGTGATACTTCCTCGGACAGAAAATTTATTAGAGTGGCTCGTTTAGTCGAATGCACTACAAGGGACCATTGTTTTGAACTTGACATGCCTACGTAAGCAAACGTAAGGTAAAGTTATTTTGAGTAAGCTATTATTTTTTATATGCGCTCGGTGATGGCTATTGAAATCCTGTTTTTGAATATATCAATTCCGAAGAGTAGCTTCCGAGTCGTCGTTTCCGCAACCTAGAGAAAACGCGAAAAACTTTAATTTGATCAGTCCTAGAATATGAAAGAAGCGAAGACTGACGGCATTTTTCAGTAAATAAATAAACAATAAATTTATTGTTGCAAGCAATTTCTTTTGTGTTTCCACTGTTTATGCGTAGCTGATATACGTCGTATTTTCCTAGGGTGTGGGAGGTTTCTATTTTTTTTTACTTGAAATTTTTTTGCTGATTTACAAAAAATCCAAGACCTTGTCACGCCTTAGCCATTGCCACCTCCCGATGACAAAAAATGAAATAAAATGAATTTGGTGTAAGACTTTTTAATGCACGCGAGAATAAAAAAATATTCAACAGCTGCTGGCTAATGTTGACAGCCTTGAGTTGCAGGTGTACTTGTCCACGAGGAGGGGAGCTTGGATCGCCAAGATGCTTGGGCCGAACGGCATGCCCCTGGACGCAGCTTTAATCACCAGAGCGAGCAGATGGAAAGGGCGCCTGGTGCCCATGTCCACTAAGCTCGACAAATTTGAGGCCTTGTTGAACAGCCACTTCAACCACGAGGCCTACGGACTCCGGCCTAAGCACAGAGTGGGCGCCCAGCACATAAACGTCAGTGACTCCCTGCCCTCCCTGATTTTGTCTGGCCTCGTCCGCATCAAGAAGGACGTGGTCCAGTTCACAGAAAACGGCATTCTTTTCGAAAATGACCAGGAGGTAAGATTTCAAAGGATACTTATATGCGCATTGAAAGTGTCCGTTAAACACTGCCACAGTGGTGCGGCAGCCTCGTTTATCTACGAGATAGGGATACAATTTTGAGCATTTTGTTTTAAAAGAGTAGTAGAATTCATTGAAACGTACACACTTAAGTTTTTATTTTGAATAAGATAGGGAGCAGAGGAACATATGTGGTAGTATATTGACAGTGTCTCTGTCTGTTAATGTCAGCCGTTAGTGTTTAGGCACAAAAAATGTAAAAGATAACCCACAGAAAAGCAAACAACTACAAAATATAGAACGACATGAAGTGTTTATGCAAAGGAAAATAGAAACTGAATCATAATTAGAAGCATAACCAACAAAATTGAAATTGGCATTACCTGAGCCGACTAAAAAATCAAGGGCGTACGGAGATGTTCTGTGGCGATTCTACTAAAGAAAAACTGGAAAACAATTTCCGACCTCCTTGGTATTTGGCAAAGGTGTCCTAAAGGATAAGCATTTCAAACATGTTTTCACACGTCAAAAAAAAAAACAACAAAAAAAAAAACAACATAGTCTGTGGCACAAAGTACACACCCCACCGAACCGATCACTGACCATGCACTGGAGCTTGAATAATTATTTTTTATAGCATTGGTGACATTTCGGATATTCGCTTACCCAATTGGCGGTTTGATAGCTCCACTGTCTGGCAACTTGCTGCTGACCTTGCAGTTTTTTGTGCTTCGCGACTGCCGTGGATTTTGATGGTAAATGAAATTTCGTGGGTGACAACGTAGTCGATGTACATAGAAGCTATCAGGGTACGAAAAGTCCTACACGTATATCTTCAACAAGCAATTTTTTCAACGAAGCTTAAAGGGGCACTGACACCCCAAAGGTCGTATTTTTTTATCGTCTAAAACGATGCAAGCTGCAGTCATAAACACGGAAAAAAAAAAAAAACGCATCGCGAAAAAAAGTTTTCCCGCGCGGGCGCGCCTTTTTATTTTTGGCGTTTGATTCTCCCGCCTCTCGCCTCCTCGCTTCTTTTGATTCGTGACGTCAAGAATCATGAAATTTAGAAGCTTTGTAGGCGAAATTTCTATAACATTTAATAACGGCAATCGTAAAACATGTTGTTTAACGCAATTGCGAACGCACTACGGCCCTTCTTTTTGAATACCAAAAATCGGAGTCCGTTGTGGTGCCGTCTCCTGGATTTGTATCCTCCCACGGAAAACAGGTGACACCGCTCAAAACCGGTCCGCCGGCGCTCGCTCCTTTCCTCCTCGCTTTGGGTCGCGATGGCAACAGCAGGAAGTCGTGAAAGAAAGTGGACTCTCAGGACTCCGCAATATTTGACGTCAACGCACCGGCGCGGATCGCGTGGGAACTTCGAATTCGGCATTCGGAAATTGTGTTTTTACTTCACCATTACTGAATATCCAAATTTCGAATTTTGAGGGTAATGTCCCGGCATCGTTTTCAATCGTTTCGGATAATGAAAAAAAAAATATAATTTTGATGTGTCAGTGCACCTTTAATACATTTTTGTTATGCGGTAGGGTTTGGTGCGGCAAATGGCAGCTCGTGGCACAGCGTGTTGAATCTTCACGAAGCTCTCCTCCTTTTTGTGTTTTTGTGGTTGTGCGGTACCCGCGTCGACATATGCTTCGGATTACAACTTTAAGCCTGCTTTTTTATCGCTAGTGCACTACCACTTACTCTTGGCGACAATTGACTATTTTTTGCGTGTCCGAAGTACCTCTAGAATCTTCCCGGTTCTAGTATGCTTTGCAATCTTCACAGTTGTACAACAGTTCGGTAATACAGTGATGTCTCGTTAATATGGACACCTCCGTTCCCGTAAAAAAATTGCAGTGGTTTAGCCCGGCTATGCCATGATATACGTAGCTTGAGCTTATGCGGACAAAATGAGAGACGCTATCAAGCGGCTCCGGTGCAGCGTCAGACTTGGCTACTGCGCAACGGAGGCTCACAGCTGGGCACACGGTGGCACCAGTGTGTCTGCCGCGGCTATGACGTCTGTCCTCTGGAATGCGCAGACCGGCGAGGCGGGCGCGGCGGCGGCGGCGGCTCCGGCGCGCCTACTGTGTGCCGTGTGATGTCACTGCTGCTCGCGCATGCGCACCACGAAGCACGGCTCATTATGCGAGCCACGCAAAACTGCTCAACCTCGGCCAGTGTAGTTCACGCTACAAACATGTCCATAATGTTAGTTGTCCATAATAACGAGACAAAAATGCACGAATTTCCCAGTTTGTCCCCGAAAGCGGTGTTCATATAGCGGGGTATCCGTATTAATGGGGTCCATATTAACGATACATGACTGTACATCATTAAGTTTCACTGCTCGGTTACTCATTCATACTTGTCGACGGAATAATGTAATGTACAACTAGGACGTTCTAAAACTTTTTTGAGCGCAGCTCTTAGGGGCCCGTTCCCGGCTTGAGCGGCGTCGCCGTCGGCGTCGGCGTCGCCGTCGGCGTAACCGCAACCCTCGTAACCCTCGTGAGGGTTACGAGGGTTACGAGGGTTAATCTCATGAGGGTTACCCTCACGAGGATCACGAGGGCCACGAGGGTTACTTACCCTCGTAACCCTCACGAGGGTTACGAGGGTTTTTACCCTCAGAAGGGTTACCTTCACAAGGGTTACCCTCACGAGGGTTACTTACCCTTGTAACCCTCACGAGGGTTACGAGGGTTAGTAACCCTCGTGAGGGTAACCCTCGTGAAGGTAACCCTTTTGAGGGTTACGAGGGTTAGTAACCCTCGTGAGGGTAACCTTCACGAGGGTTACCCTCACGAGGGTCACGAGGGTTATGAGAGCTACCCTCACGAGGGTTACTTACCCTCGTAACCCTCACGAGGGTTACGAGGGTTAGTAACCCTCGTGAGGGTAACCTTCACGAGGGTTACCCTCACGAGGGTCACGAGGGTTATGAGAGTTACCCTCACGAGGGTCACGAGAGTTACCCTCACGAGGGTCATGAGAGTTACCCTCACGAGGGTCACGAGAGTTGCCCTCACAAGGGTTACTAGGGTTACCCTCACGAGGGTCACGATGTTACCCAGGTCAAGTGACCCCCCCTGCGGTCACGTGACCTGGGGATACCCCCCGAGGTCACGTGACCCCCCGTTGACGTCATAGCCACTGATGACGTCATCAGTGACGTCACTGATGACGTCACCGGCATCCGCATCGTCATCGTCATCATCGCTGATGAGGTCATCAGTGACGTCACTGATGACGTCACCGGCATCCGCATCGTCATCATCATCACTGATGGCGTCATCAGTGACGCTACTGATGACGTCATCGGTATCGTCACGTGACCCCCCGACGTCACGTGACGCCCCAAGGTCACGTGACTCCCACAAGGTCACGTGACCCCCAAGGTCACGTGACCTTGGGGAGTCACGTGACCTTGGGGCGACCCCCAAGGTCACGTGACCCCCAAGGTCACGTGACCCCCCCGCCCCCCGAGGTCACTTGACCCCCCCCCCCTCAGTACCCTTCCCTCCTCCTCCTCAAGAGCTGCGCTCTAATTCGGCGTTACAGGGAGTTGTAAACGGCTTTCATTTTTTTGTTTTGGTTTACGTGCATATTTTTAATCAACTGGGCGAGTACATTTTTGGGAAAGGTCTCCTCTATGTTTTAGTTGGGTTAATCAAGTTCGAGACAACTTCATTTAGTTTGAGATATTCAACCTTCTTTTCTATATCAAGAAACAAGAAGATCACTTTTATTTAAAAAAGACGTACCGAGAAAACATAAAGGGTTTCAAATTTTATATAATTGCGGTAAATAGAACGACTATTTGTTCCGATAGAAGCTTTGATTTTGACTATAAGGCGGCTTGGCATCCCAATCGCATCCTGGCAGCACCTTAGGCACTCCTAGTATAAATAGGCTCTGGTAGTTCTAGATATTGTTGGGAAGGTGAAGACGACGACCGGGCAGTCGCTCGTGCGACCATCTCGCGTGTGACCCCACGGGCCGGCTGGGCCTTCATAAGCCCTTGTATCTTGTGAGGGTGCTCTGTCTTCCTATTCACCGGCCGGGTCGGCCGTTTTCGTCGGAGGGAGTACTGTTAGGAAAATGAGGGCAACGACAGGGCAGTGTCGAGAACGACCATCTCGCGCCAGGCTCCACGTGCCGGTTCGGCCTCCATAAATCATTCTATCTTTTCTCTGTCATCATCTGTCCTGTCCTGTTAGCTGCCGAAGGCATCACCCTAACAATATGTTTTTTCTAATGGCCTCCCATAAAAATTGGGCTGCTGACATTCTATTAACCTCGTAGAGGCATTAATAAAATTTAGGCTCTGGTCCTCCTAAGCCGGGGGTGTCAACACACGCGGCCCTCGGGCCGTATGCGGCCTGCGACTCTGAAGGACGTGGCCCGCAGGTGTTCCCTGGCTGCGAGCTCTGGTTCCTTTGCTTGGAGCACTGCATGCGCCATGAATAATGACGTCTAGTGGTTCATTCATTTCCACCATAAACGTAGCTTTGCCCTTATGAAGTTTTAACATATTTGGCACTAATCTATTTTCTTTCAGATTAAGGACTTTCTCGTCTTATATACCGTTAGGACTCAAGTATTTGATTGTAAAGCTGCTATAAATATTCACAGGAAAGCAGAAACTACCGCACGAAAAGGTTTTATTTCGAGACTTATTAAACTTGGATACTTCCCGAGTTAATTGAGCTACAGAGAGAGGATTGTGTGCTTGCTTTCTAGTTGTATCAAAACACTTTCAGAGCGTTGGCTCTGTTGTAGTATTTTAAATATTGTAATCAAACTGTGTTCAAATCCGAAGTGTTTTAGTGAACCGCTATAGCGCGAGATCCTATCTTTAGGGAATCGCTGGGTATCACTGAAAAAACTGATGCTTTGCAAAGTGGAGGACCATAGCTGCTGTTGTTTTTGTATAATATATATTAAGAGACCCCCCCCCCCCCCCCCCGCAATATGTTGGC